CGAGGTTTAAAACTCTCTTTGTCTTTGTCTCTTTTCCGGCTTTAAAATGAGACAGAAAGTTTTAAGTTTCACTTAAAGTCAAAGTAACGTTGGTGCAACCAGGTCTAATTAGTAGCTTCATTGGATAATCAATGCGCATTAATAATGGGACAAAATATGAAGAATAAATATTATTAATTTATCTATTTCAGTGTGTCATACGTATGTTTGTATGTATTGTAAACGACCGTTAGCACGTTTATCAGGTTTGTCGTGTAATTCTTATTTTTATTTCATGTACAGCGAGTTTTATCCAACATATCGACAAACCGGCTCAAAGTTTATAATATTTACAGGAAATAAGTAGTATATTGAAGCTTTTCGTAAAATAAAAAAAAATTATTAAATATAGCGGTTAACTTTCTAAATCATCAATGTTTTATTGTGCTTAACTATGAGACATTGTATTGCACACATTACAATTTGTTGTCAATACTCTTACAAAAGAGTGAGTTAATGAAAGATTTAATAATGAGAAAAAATTCTGTTTAATGCGAAATAGATAGAATTGAGATAACTATATTTCTGTCTATAACAATTAAAATTATTTCTATATACTGTTCCATTAAAATTACATCCGAGAATAATTTTAATTAATCAAATTAAAAAGAAACATTGCAATATGTGAAAGTCTGTTTCTTTGTACCGAGTACCTATTGTGTGACTATTAAGTATTAATATGTGGATACGTAATAAAATAAAAAATATGTAAAGTGTTAAAAAATAATTTGATGTGTTTGACGACGAATATATTGTTTGCTGTTAAGAATGCTATTCAAACGTTTATATCGATATGCTCTATAGTAATGTATGTATGTACACTTGTACAGCTTACAGAGATATATGAGAGAAGTGTCTCTCGACATTTGATGATAAATTTATTTAAATTTGTCGCAATGTTAGTATATGTATATATATATGTATATTATGAGATATTATATTATATCCTTTTTTTTTTAATAAGAAGAGTCCGGGAAACTTAATATTTCATATGGTAGAGTTGAACTTTATAATAAATATCTCGCGCCTTCTTCAAATTTCGCGCCAAGCACGTGCACTGACAATTGCGAGCTTGGTACGAAAGTAATGATTCAACTTTTTCGTATGATCAAATCTTCCGGATTTCTCTTATCTTATTTAAGTAAAGTATAAATAGTATAATAATTTGAAAATGAAAAAATGTCAGAGAGAAAGAGCGAAAATATACGAATTCGATATATGTATATGTATTATTAGATAAATTAAATAGATATACAAATAATGATTTTGTCAATGTAGAGAAATGTTGAAGTATTTAGAATTACAGCTTTTCGAAGTTACATTTGATTTATTAAGATCAAAACGGTCAAATATTAAAAACCGCTGAAATAAATTTATACAAATCATAGCTAACTGCTTTTTTATCCAAATCCCAAATATTGTTGATGAATGAATAGTATATGTATACAGAGTGTTTGGAAAGTAAAACTCTTTCGCATAGGGGTAGAATGGACTAAACTGAGAAGAAAAGTCCTCTATCATTTTACAATTTTCGCAGTAGTTAACAAGATATTAATTACTAAATTACGAAAATTGTAAAATGGTAGAGAACTTTTCTTCTCTCTTCTCTCTCTCTCTCTCTCTCTCTCTCTCTCTCTCTCTCTCTCTCTCTC